AAGAAAACAGAAACCATTTTTATTTTATTTTTTTATTTTTTTATTTTCAGTTTTCCTCTCATTTAAACACATTTAACTCTTCCCCAAATTCTCATTACTGTAATTATATTATGTGAAAATATTTATCTTGGTATAATCTTTAAGTCTTAAATTTATGCTGTTTTCTTTTACAAATTGTATGGCCCTAATGATTATTTTACTGTAACAAAGTAAGGACTATGAAAATAATGGTTAATGGTCTTAAAAAAAACTTTTTCTTTATGCAGAATATAAATTCTTGTTTTGTTTTTATTATAATTGGTTTATTTGGGGGTAAAATGTGAGTTACATTATAAAATGTGTGATCACGTTATAATTATATGCGTTATAGTTTTGTGAGATTCAACCCCTTTTGACTTTGGAAAAGAAGGTTCAATAGTTTGTAAGGTTATGACACCGTTCTCTGTTCTTTGTTTTCCACTAAGCCCGACTTTATCCATATCTATATATCCATTTACAGTCCCACTGGAGCGTATCTCAGGGACTGGCATATTACAGTATATAAATCCTTATCACTGCTGGACAGATTCATCACATGCTAAAGCAGTGACCGTGTCAAACGCAGCCCGACTCTCAGCTTCATTACATTGCTGCTGCTGGATTCTTGCTGCTCTTGACCAAAGTACAAAACTGTACAACTCTGACATGCCATTCAATTATGAGCAAAAAACATTTCCAACTGAAGCAGTTGTCTTTAGCAGCCCAATTATACATGTCTTTTTACAAAAGTTTTGGCAGTTTGGTAAGGGAACAAAATGGCAGATTATTTAAAGGAATAGTTCTCCCCCAAAAAATGAACATTTGCTCAATTTTCTCATCCTCAGGCCATCCGAGATGGAAATGAGTTTATTTCTTCTTCAGAACAGATTTGGAGAAATGTAGCATTGCATCAGTTGCTCACCAAAGGATGCTCTGCAGTGAATGGGTGCCGTCAGAATGAGAGTCCAAACAGCTGATAAAAACATCACAATAATCCACAAGTAATCCACACCACTCCAGTCCATCAGTTAATGTCTTGTGAAGTGAAAAGCTGCATGTTTATAAAAAAAAAAAAAAGACTTTTTCACTGAAGAAAGCAATATTATGGATAGAGGACTTGTATTTTAGCTATGATTTGAAGTCAAAATTGTCTTGATGGATGTGTTTCTTACAAACATGCAGATTTTCACTTCACAAGACATTAACTGGTGTTATTGTGATGTTTTTATCAGCATTTTCAGCAAATTAAAATTTTTGGGTGAACTATTCCTTTAAGAAAATAAATGGGTTCAGTCTTGATTTCATGATGACTTAATGCACATTACAGTAAACTAGTATTGATTTTCAGTCAAATTCAAGTTGGACATACATAATGACTTTCAGATCAACGAGTCAAGAACTGCTCTGATTATTCAGTATGTGAGTCGTTTGATATACTGTAAGTGGATAACTTATGATCGATTCATGAGTCTTTTTTGACTGATTCTTTACAAATAATTGACTGATATCTGTGCCACTGTATTGGATTATGAATTTGTCCCACTGGTAGCACAGGCTAATCTTATTGGTTATGATATGAATATATGCATAATAACTCCAATAAGTCACCTTAATTAGCTTGGCCAAATTCTCATTTAGACATAAAGTGGGGATGGCAGCTAAATTAAAAGAGCTGCTATTACACTGATTATGTTTCTGGCCTTTGACCATACAGGTGTAATGAGATGCTAAAACGAGTTTAACAATAAGATCTGCTCATGAGAAGCTCATACAGCCTACAGTAGATCAGAGTTATCAATTAAAGCACCAATAGGTCGACTCTAAATTTCCTTTCTAGAAATGTCCAATCATGACTAGGCTATTGTTTCATGAGCCAATATGTACGGCAATGAAATTAAAGATATAGTTCACACAAATATGAAAATTTGCTGAAAATTTACTCATGCTCAATTCATCCAATAGGTAAATGAGTTTGTTTCTTCCTCGAACAGATTTGGAGAAATGTAGCATTACATCACTTGCTCACCAAAGGATGCTCTGCAGTGAATGGGTGCCGTCAGAGTTAGACCCTGCTCCGGAGTAGGAGCTAATTTGGTTCTCGAAAAAGGCAGTCCGGTACTAAAATCGCTCCCAGTTCTGGCGGTGCGAAAATGCCAAAAAAGTGGGTAGTTCCACAATTAGTTTTGGTACTATGAAAAGGTTCCCGCGGTGCGAAAGGCCCTAGTGTTGGCCCTGAAAAGTATTTGGGCAATTAAAGTAATAGTTCACCCTCGGGCCATTCAAGATGTAGATTAGTTTGTTTCTTCATCAGAACAGATTTGGAGAAATTTAGCTTTACATAACTTTCTCACCAATGGATCCTCTGTGAATGGGTGCCGTCAGAATGAGAGTCCAATCATCTGATAAAAACATCACAATAAACCACAAGTAATCCACACCACTCCAGTCCATCAGTTAATGTCTTGTGAAGCTAAAAGATGTGTGTTTGTAAGAAACAAATGCATCATAAAGATATTTTAATTTCAAACCATTACTTTCAGCTAAAATACGAATCCTCTATCCATAATATTGCTTTCTCCAGTAAAAAAGTTGTTTTATTTGAATCAGGAGAGAAATACGCACAGATTAAGCACCATTTGCCAGTGGAACAGAGGCCAAAACAGATCTAAACAAATACTGTATGTGATGTGAGAGGACAACAGGGGATGAAAATGATCTGCATATGAGTGACAGAGCAGATCACAGATTTGACTACAATACCCTCTAAATACAATACATTTTAAATCATGGATTCGATTCCTAGGGAATGCAACTGTTTTACGCCTTCAATCTATATAAGTCACTTTGGATAAAAGTGTCTTTCAAATGCACGAATGTGAATGTAAATCCTAAAGTTTTTTATTATTATTACTTTGTCCACTGTAAAATCTATACAGTGTAGAAAAATACGAAACTTTGTTCATAATATCAAATGTAGCCAGTTTAGCAGAAGAATGCAGAAATATATGTGAGAGTTTTACATGAATAAGCAGTGGACGCATTGTCCTAAATTCCTGTGATTATTATTGTATACATTTCTCTGTACAAATAGATAATGAAAAAGATTGACGATACCTAAGGAACTAATCTGTGGGCTGCATCTCGATCTTTGACCTCTGACCTCTGAATATCTAAGCAAAGAAATTGAAGTGGTCTAATACAGAATTGCACAGGAAGTGGTTTTTATTTACGTGTTTAGTAAATTCATTATGCATGATTCAAAAGCCTGCTGGATGGAACTAGATGTTCAACGTCTGTAATAAACCATAAATCAAATTCAGAAATTGTAATCCAGTACTGTTTCATCTGGATGACTAATATGAACGGAAGTGGTCAATGATGTATGAATTTCAGAAATATTGTTCAGTATAGCCTAAGATACCATTAAAAAGGAAATCAAATTCAAATTCAAATGTGCTCGCTAGTTGGTTCTCATGTTAAGTTTAATTGTCCTAGTGATGAAAGCCTCAATGAAATACAATCAAGTGAGCTGTACATCTATCCTGTTTAGGCTAACAAATAATTACCAGTGATGTATTTGATGTCACGAGGTCGATTAAGTAGACACGCTCGGGAGGACTTCTGTAAATCGAAAAGCATTTTCGAAGCTTTTTCTGTTGCACAAGATAAGATGTTCCAGATTTCTGGATGCTGTCATGCTGTTAGATGAATCAGTGCGGCGACTGAGAAAATGGCTGAAAAAGCAAACAACACAGGAAATGAGTAACTAGAAGTACTGCATCAAGGTACGCAAACATCATTTACAAAAAGGGTTCATCTGTAATGGTTGCCTTTGACACTTCAGTCATCTGAAAAATGCCTCAAATTACAGCAGTGAAATGGCACAACGGCTGAGTAAATGTTACTGTACAATGCTCTTCCATTCAGAAAATGAGTGCATATACAAAAATGAAGATGTGTAAACCTTTGTGCCCAAGGGAGTCATCAAGGGTGATGGTTTGTCTATGATATTCTGTCCTCCTGCAGCTGTTTTATTTATTTTCGCCTCTTTCTCTTGAAACATTGCACGAATGCAGTGCTATTTTAGTATTATTTGTATGCTATTTATTGTATATATTTTGAATCAGTGATATTTTAGTTTCACTGAGATACTATAATAATTTTTATTTTATTTTACTGTTATTATTATAGTTTTTAATTAATATTTTGAATTAGTTTTTTTTTTTACATTTTCCGTTTTCCTTTTAATTAAGGTTTTATTATTTTGCTGTGTGTTTTGTCATTTTTATTAGTTTTTTATGTCTTATAGTCTTATATTATTTGTTCAATTTTGGTTTACATTTTTCCTTTTTTTTTATCAAATTAAACAGATTAATTTTTGTGTAATTTAACTATAATAACCTAACCTAAATTAGCTTTTATTTTTATGTTCATTTTGTTTATTAGTAATTTTGTTATGTGCTCTTGTCATTTTTATTATTTTTAAAAATATTTCTATTTAATTTTATTTTAATTTGACAACTTCAATTTATTTCAGTTAGGTGCCAAGGCAACATTTCTAATTTCTTATTGAATTGAATTGAATTGAATTGAACTGCATTTAATTTTTTAGATAACAACATTGTATTATGATCATGGTTTAATTTTACATTATAATATTTAGTATTATATTATAGTTAAACAACTGTACAAGTGACCATTTCTTTATCAAACCATTGTACTTTGTTAATCTAAAATTTGTATTATTTTAGCTTTATTTCAGTCAAATAATCTGAATGATTTTTAATAGTTTTAATTAGTGATAACAACATTCTAGTGGCCATTCTTTTTTTGTAGGCTCTAAAAAGCAGAAATAGTTTGATATTTTTCCCGGTCTGTTGTCTTTGACATAACAGCTCATGATCACTAGTGAAGGGTTTAGGCCTGTGGTGCCATCAGCCAATCAGCTTCGTCATGATGTCATTTTCCTGTGACTAAAAAGATCCTTGTCCAAACTGAAGGCCCATGAGCAAAGACGAGAGCATGCAGCTCTCAGTTTGTTTACTGACCATTTAATGCACATTACACACAAAAAAGCAAGCATGGCAGAAATCACCACGTCCAGTCTGATCGCCAGCTGGGAACAAAGTCATGTTAAGAGTCTACCAGTATGATACAGTGAGCACTGAGGAAAAACAAATCTGCCAAAGTTTGCAAGGTTAGTGTCATCCAGTCTTTGACAGTCTTTTGAAAGAGTTCTGTTTGAAGCACTTATCAGTAAGTAAACTACATCTGCATGTATTCATTTAGCAGATGCTTTTATCCAAAGTGACGTACAAATGAGAAACTTTGTAAGCTTTTTATCATAAGACTTAAAATACACAATGCCGAGTTTAAGCATAAAATAGATTAGCACACAAGCTGGAACAGAAGTGAAATGCAAAAATTAAGAGAGAAAAAATACGTCTTTTTAACTAGATCATCAAAAGCAGTGCTTTGTTTTGTCAAAGTCTACAAACATTTTCACTAATTTTTACAGTGTTTTCATAGATATTGCTGCATGATTATGTAAAAAAAAAAAAAAATCTGTGCTGGTCTATTATTGTTGGCAGAATCTCCTTTAGATCATCTCTTTCTGTCTAAGTGGGTAATTCTAGGCCATAACTGAGGGACAGACTTCATGCCGCAAGTTAAATTCTGGCTATTAAGATTATAACCAAACTTTGACACCTTGATATCTTAATTTGGTTCCTGGTGTTCCACATTATATCCCATATGGCAAAAAAACAAAACAAAAAAACGCTTGCCAAAATATATTTTAAATGTACAGTGGGTACGGAAAGTATTCAGACCCCCTTCAATAGGAGGAATGGCAGAGGATCCCCAAATCCAGGTGTGAAAAACTTGTTGCATCTTTCCCAAAAAGACTCATGGCTGTATTAGATCAAAGGGTGCTTCTACTAAATACTGAGCAAAGGGTCTGAATACTTAGGACCATGTGATATTTCAGTTTTTCTTTTTTAACAAATCTGCAAAAATGTCAACGATTCTGTGTTTTTCTGTCAATATGGGGTGCTGTGTGTACATTAATGAGGAAAAAAAATTAACTTAAATGATTTTAGCAAATGGCTGCAATATAATAAAGAGTGAAAAATTGAAGGGGGTCTGAATACTTTCCGTACCCACTGTATGTTGTAAACAGTCAAGCACAATGCCATATATTTTTTAAACTGAAATATATATTTACTTTTAACTCTCATTCTGTACAGCAAAATACATTTCCAGTCTTACAGTAGCCTATTTAGGCTAGATATGTGAATGGATTAACCTACTAGAGTGTATTTATTTACACACATTATAGACAACAAATAACGTTTTTATTCAAATGTGACAAGTGAATGTATTTTCTTGGATTGAAACACATGAAATTGTATATTTTTGAATATTTAGAATGTTTTGTACATTTTGAAATATATACACATTTGAAAACGTACTTTTTTGCCGTATGGGATAGCCAGATCACCCTTAAATGATCTGTATAGCATGCATTTGTGATCATTTATGATCTATGCAAAACATCTTTCTTTTTTTTAAGAGTGCCTGTCATGTCTAATTATATGTTCGTTTGATTTATTAACCATTACAAGGGCATTAAACCAAGGCATCACATGATTGCAACTCAGCATAAGCACAGAATTGTGGGTTATGTTATTTCTACAACATCTGACTCAAACACCATCATCCTTCTTACTAATACACATACAGTCAAATGAAGAGGTCATTAGTAAGAGTAATGTCACTTTATGTAGTAATTAAAATAAGTGAGAAATGAAGGGAGCAAGAGGAAAGAGATAGAACATGAAACGCAGAAAGCAAGAAAAACAATGCTAAATACAGTTCCATGTAGCTGGTAAAAATTTATTCATGGCTGGTAAAGTTTCTCAATTTACCCATGTAAAGGTGACCTTCACTCTTTTAAATTCCACTCAAATCCTCCCATTAAAAAGTCTAAAGCAGCGGCAGCCACTGAAATCTAGCGCCTCCAGGTAACAGGGGGGGTGTGTGAAGGGGGTTTAGCAGGACTCCTGCTAACACACTTAGATCATCAAATAGTCGAGAGAGTGTGGAGTTTCTTGCGGTTCATTGATGAAAAGGAAATGGTGACTTTGTCAGTGTCAGGTCCGTGTCTAAACTTTGGATGAAATCTTTTCTCAGGTAGAGGAGGGATATTGCATATCAATCTATGCTGAGAGTAAACAGTTTTATGGCACTAACTGCATTAAATCTAACCCATAAAATTATGGAAATAATAAAATAATAAAAAATTAATTTATTATTATTACAACAAAAAAGGCAGAATTGCGAGATAAAACTAATATAAAGATATAAACTTTAGAATTTTAACTTTTTTTTTCTTGCAGTTTTGAATTTATCTCTCAATCCTGACTTACAACTGTTATTCTGAATTGCAAGATATATTGCCAGAATTGCAAGATATAAAGATATATCTTGCAATTCAGTAAAAAAGTGTTAATTGTGAGATAATCAGAATTTTAAGAAAAAAAGTCTGAATCATGAGATAAAATCACTTTTTTTTTTGAATTACTAGGCCTATTTTTTATTCCATTGCAGAAACAAGCTTCCATATAAAATGTTCATAGGTTCATACATGGAAGAACTGCTGTAGCATTTTTTGAATTAGTATTCCTGGACATTTTTTACTGGAAAAAAAAGAAAGAAATCAAGGTTGTCCTCTTGTGTAGTATAATTATTGGTATATTAACCCAAAACTATGCTTTTGATGTGCCTTTGAAATCCTTTAAACACTGTTTTAAACATACTTTGATTTGGGATGTACTAAATTTAAACTTGCGTTTATGATGGATAGTGTGCAATTTGGGACAAAGCCAATATTTGCACTAGTCACGAGGCAAACTTAATGATCTTGTCAGTGGATGTTTCAGTTGTGCTGCTCCGTCTATTCACTGATTGATAAAAACACTGAAAAATGTGGCATGTGGCCCAAAGGACTTTGTTCTCTTATTGTTTTGCTGCTTAAGTAAATTAATTTGAAAAGCGTTTGTTGTGCATTTCCTCCATTTAAAATATGCTTGAGACTGAAGGATCTTTATGAGGTGTGACGGTAAATAGAATTGAAGTGTTTTAATCCAGTATAACGAGTTGTAGATGTTGTATGCAGCACCAATGCATCGCATCACCTCAGTGTCTCATTTGATTTTGTGTTGGTTGTGGTTCTACCTCGTTATTCTTTCATGAGCTATAATCTAATGTGGCCCTGTGGGTGAAAGATAGCAGAGATATTAAAATCAAGTAACAAGCCAATATCTCTCTCTGGAAAATGTGCCGACACACAGAGACACACTATCAGGTTCCTCTAGTAATTGTGCCCAATAAGCCTCACTTTTAAGCAGCTCACCCTTCAGCGGTGTTTCATGCGGTGATTCTTATTCCCTCATCTCATCTTTAATGCTCCTGGTCCACCATCATCCTAGAAAAACTTTTAGTTTTAATAAGGAACATTAAACCTCTTTTTTCACTGTTCCACCCTCTAATCTCGCCTCTTTCCCTCATATATGATTTGCTGTATTGTATTTATTAATGTAGAATCTGAATCTTCCATCCATCCATCTATCTGTCTGTCCATCCAATTGTTCCATCAGTCCTATTGTTTCATCCATCCATCCGTCCTATTGTTCCATTCGTCCATCAGTCCTATTGCTTCATCCGTCCATCCGTCCTATTGTTCCCTCCGTCCTATTGTTCCATCCGTCCATCAGTCCTATTGTTCCATCCATCCATCCATCCGTCCTATTGGTCCATCTGTCCATTAGTCCTATTGTTCCATCCGTCCTATTGTTCCATCCATCCATCCATCAGTCCTATTGTTCCATCTGTCCATCCATCCTATTGTTCCATCCGTCCATCAGTCCTATTGTTCCATTTGTCCTATTGTTCCATCCGTCCTATTGTTCCATCAGTCCTATTGTTCTATCCGTCCTGTTGTCCCATCCATCCATCCATCAGTCCTATTGTTCCATCCATCCGTCCATCAGTCCTATTTTTCCATCCGTCCTATTGTTCCATCCGTCCATCCGTCCTATTGGTCCATCCGTCCTATTGTTCCATCCGTCCATCAGTCCTATTGTTCCATCCATCCGTCCATCAGTCCTATTGTTCCATCCATCCATCAGTCCTATTGTTCCATCCGTCCATCCGTCAGTCCAATTGTTCCATCCATCCGTCAGTCCTATCGTTCCATCCGTCCATCCGTCAGTCCTATCGTTCCATCCGTCCATCAGTCCTATTGTTCCATCCGTCCATCCGTCCTATTGTTCCATCCATCCTATTGTTCCATCCGTCCTATTGGTCCATCCATCCATCCATCAGTCCTATTGTTCCATCCCTCCATCCGTCAGTCCTATTGTTCCATCTGTCCATCCGTCAGTCCTATTGTTCCATCCGTCCATCCGTCAGTCCTATTGTTCCATCCGTCCTATTGTTCCATCCATCCATCAGTCCTATTGGACTATTTTGAAAATTGTTATAATGAATGTTTCTCTCTTTTCGTCCACCAAACTGGATGCATCTTGGATGCATTTTTTTTTTCATTGTGCATTATGGACTTGCTCTTAAAACAAGTTGCAATGTTTCCTTACAATTTGACCAAAATAACAATGTCAACATGTAGTATGCAAACTGCAAATGTAGTTAATCAGTTTTTCATTAAATTCAGTAAATACTATAAAAATTAAGGTCTTCTCTTCTCACCCTGGAACACTTTTACAATTGCTTATTTATATTCAAGTTTTCTCTTTACTTTTGAATTGGCTGAGTCAGGATTTCTAATTGATGGCAGAGGTCTACATCATCTACATCTACCAGCAGGAGCATTTAAGAACTCTTGACCTGAATCTAAATCTCAGAGGAGATCGTCAGAGATAATTGTTCGAGGTCAGCTCACTGTAGCCACATGCATAAACAACACAAGAAGACGTTTGGTTGCTGCAGAGCGATAAAGCTTTATGGCAGTGCCACATAGTACATGGCAAACTCCTCAGGTCACCGTAAGCACATCAGCAGTGACTGATAGCATCATAGAGCTTACGTTGCAGAATGTTGATGTGTTGCGGTCTAGACAGATGCTGTCTTGTTTGTATTTGGGACTTTTGCTTTTTTTTGTGCAACTGTAAATAGAGG